GTACATTCTTTTTCATCTTACGTTAGACACCTTTAACGTTGTTTCAGCTGTGCCCTTAGCACGACAGAAGGGGGAAGCAAAATGCGTCAGGCGTGGCTTCACCTGTTTGGTCCCAACACTCGGGCGAGTTGGACCAGTGGATACGGACATTCAGACTTTTCCTAATCGGTACGAGTTATGATCGTCGGACTTTGAGCTTGCATGTGTGCCGTGGGGTGTAACTTTGTCGGACATTGTTTTCAAGCCAGCATATGAATAGTTGCTGCCATGGTGTACCTCAGCGCGGTGACGACGACACTGAGGACTGACAGAGGATGTACGTAGGTGGGATCTTGCTGCGAGAAGTCGCCCACAAGAGATGTTACTCGTCTTGGCTGCGGGTAAATCTCTCGGTCAGGGTTGAGTCTCAGCAGCACAGTTTTCCATTCGCTTCCGAATTTTAACCAAGAGTTGTCATTTGATGGTACATTTAGCAAGCAGTCCTTGAGTTTTGTTACTTTTCACCCATGCGTTTGGGGGCGGGCTGGTGAGAGCCAGAAAGGACTCTACACCTCTGGGGGCCGCCAGCTCCGAGATCCCCTGCCAACTCTGTTAATGCTCGTTTGAGACATTATCCGTGGCGCACGACGGGGACGTGCAACAGGAGTCTTGCATGAGGTTCCGTAAAACCAGAACAGTGAAGTACTGGCGCCCGAGTGGGGTACGGAATATCTCCTTATACACATCACATCAGACTTAACTTCCCCTCATGCCTGTGACCGAAATCACCGCGCCACTTAGCTAATGTGAGTTGATAGGTACTTCGGAGGAGGAGCTTAAGCCATCATCTTGAGGGTTGGGTAAAAACTAAGGAAAGGGAGGAGTTTAATTTGGACAATAGATTAATACTTATACTGCGAGCCTGTGGAATTCCCGTCATTAATCGCAGCCTGCCGGCAAACAAACAGGTCGACGTAAAGGTATATTTTACTGTCGTACTCTGGTTTGGCGATAAATGGGAAGTTCCCAGGTGAGAGAAAATATTAATTTTAATCTTGTATACTTAGGTTAGGGAGTTAAGCTTAGTCTATACTACCTTTTCCTAATTTGTCTGCACATTCTGCTTGAAATAGTTCTTTGTGAGAATTCAGTATCTCAAGTTAGGGAACTGCTAAACTATTCCTATTTCCTGTATGTTTGTGTCACATGTTTTTCATTGTATGTTTTCATGTGTATAAAATAAGACGTGAACAATGACATTTGCTATAATGAAATGTAATTATATTGTTTTCACGATCAGCCAAAATATGAGTTGGGACTGTGGGAAATGATGCCCAAATATGTGCAGGGATGCTGCTACGTTTTGTGTGCCCACCATGTGCTCACTTAATGTGTTCAACTAAACAGGGGATTTATAACCCCAGGGGAAGGATGATGGGTGTACAGTATTCACGGTCACTGAAAGCTAATATTCAGGACAGCGTGCACATATAAATTGTTTGCGGGTTCAGCACATAACCTGCGCCACATGTTTATGTCAAATCTATGTCAGCCAACTCGAAGTCTGAGTGAAGACGGACAACAGACTTGGAAAGTCAACTATCATGACATAGCATTTGAGGGAAGGCAGGATATGTGACGCCCATGTAAGACAAAAGACCTTCAGACTAGACTGGAGAGGATGTGGAATATGAGGAGGAGTGATGGGCTATATCTTATTACTATATCCTATTGTTATATGTTGTATTAATTGATACATGTATTCTTAGTGTAAGTCAAGATACTACACGTATGTGTTTTGTTTCCATGATTACAGCGCCCATGTGACGATCAGTCCATGAAGTAGCCTACATTGTGTTAGACTCGGCCACCTGGGAACGAGGGGGAGAACGAGGTGGGGGCGAGAAGGAGAAACAAGCAGGGAAGAAGCTGGAAGAGGAGGAAGAGCTTGACAGTGCTCACGGCTGTCAGAGGTTCTATGAAACTTGAGTTATGTTCATAAATTGTTCATACTTTATCACCTTCATCACACCACTCTAATCCCAGGTGCTGTTCTCACGCTGAAACAACCCATTACTATCATAACTTTAGCTAGTCACTGTTTGTGTAAACACAACAAACTGGGTATGTCAATTAACTGATTGTTAGAAAATAAAGCTGTATGTCAAGTTTTATACTACATCGTTTGTTAAATTCCAAGTGTATTCAGTCTTACCTATTTAACTAAACATAGATAGAATTACATTTGGTGGGGGCTCAATTAATAATATAATAATTCTTTAATTATTTATAATAACACCGGGAGAAGGTAGATGACGGAGGAATCACTTGCCCTGTCTAATAATTCATTAAGTATGATAGACATCTAAAATTCCTTGCCTTCTCTTGTGGGTACCAAGTTCAGCTAATGTTAATGTACTTAACGAGCCAATATGGCTGTTTTCTTGGATATCCAGGACTTTTTCTGAGAGCAACATAGCTCAGACTTTAGTTCCGTTAATCTGGTGGAGGGAATGTGTTGAAAGGAAGATCCCTACTCAACAACATAAACATTTAAACCACGCGTCAACGTCACATATATATATATATATATATATATATATATATATATATATATATATATATATATATATATATATATATATATATATATATATAATACATACAGGTCATCTCTAAGAAGCAATAAATAACTAGGTAATATTCAAGTTAATAGGAAACTGCTCAAATATATGAAGTCTAAACTAACTTTTTAACAGTCCTAAACAAGATAACATAAAAGTATATAAATAAAACACAAACTATGACTAGAAAATCATGACTTATGAATTCGGATATCTTCATGAGCTCAGCGAGGATGTAGAGGAAAAACAGCACATACAAATAATTAAACGCAGTTGCACGCTCTGCTAAGCGTCCTATTAGTCATTTGTATCAATCTACTTCTTCTTCTTCTTTTTTTTTCACCGCCTGTTAATTACGGCAGAAATATCTAGTCATTCGTCCATTCTATACTTGAGTCATGTTCTATAACATCCGTTTTACAATTCTGTTATGTAGAAAATTGGTTACTTGCCTCTCAGAAACATGCACTCTGACTTCGAAGGAAACACCACATAATAAGTCTACATTTACAAAGTAGTAAAAAGTAAAGGACCCTTTTCCACGCCTTTAGGCGTATAGGGCATACAGGGCTGGACCTATATTTTTATAGACCAATCGGCATAAGATGTGGTCAGCATCACGCCGGCCGCTTTTACTTTTCCGGGACTGCACCCGGTACCCACTCAAAGCTGGGTCGACCTGGGAGTCAAGGTCATTTTTGAAAATTATTCCGGCTCCGCCATGGAGCGAACCCAGGACCTTCCGGTCCGCGAGGAGCGTCTAGCCGCTCGGCCACGGCGACTCCCCTACATTTACAACATGCTGCTTATTGTGACCGTGGGTCTATCCCCGAAACCCCCCCCCCCCCCGCCACACACACACACACACACCACACTCACATACATACATAAAGTGGAGCCATAGAAACATGACGGGGAATTTACTTCTTAATATCAGATTCACTGTAGTCACTGCTATTAATATTTAAAACATTATAAACTGGTTTTGAAAACCTCACCGGAGAAAGGAGGAAGTTACTGTATCAATTCTTTTTCCTTTTACAGTCCAGGCCATTTGGTCTTGGTTCTAACGTCTATCTGTAATCTTCAGCCTCGTGTACTTTCAACCAGTTATGACACAGATGATCTTCCATGTCACAGTGTCGAACTGTCCACCATCTTCTGTCTCGGACTCCATCTATCTCTTTTCCACTCTAACTTTCCCACCGTCACGATGTATTAAAGTTTTTTCCATCTCATCTTTTTCTTCTTTAGCATTCCTTAGAAAAATAAGTCGTCGCCTGTGGGATGCTCTTTGTGGGATTCGACCATTTGTTATTTAAATTCCCCACCATGGCTTCTGCCGGGGGCCCTGAATATAACCGGGGCATAGATATGGCCTAGCCATAGATATGGTCTAACGGCTGAAAGGTGTTTCTGGGTCCTCTCCACGATTGATTCTCATCCGCACGGTGTCACTTTATGTCACCTGGTGTTTTATCGCTTGTTTGATGTCCTGTTGGGGTACAACTACATACCTACATAAATTTAGCATTCCGAGCCCTTGAAGTTCATTGCTGCAAATATCACCCGCCTCCACTCATCTCCCTCGTCGGTCTTCTCTTTCCATTTTCTCTATCTCATGACAAGACACAAAAAATGCATATTGTCTCCTTCTGATGTATAACCATATCCCTAGAGAGACATTAAACAAATGACATGTACAACTTGTAACACTGAGTCGATGAAAACACAAAAAGTCAAATCACCGGTTTAATTTAACGGAGATACACAAAATGGAATATGTTCTCCCTTCGCCTCAGCGCCTATTACAGTGTTTGCTTGTAACCAGTACATGAGTCACAATTCGGCATGGTTACACGCTCTTTTCTTTATTTTATTATGCTCAGTGTAGTAATACGTGCTTTAACTATCCACTGGAGAGAACTGCAGAGCAGATCATCCTTTCCTGGCGGGGCTAACACCGCAGAGATTCAGCAGAGATTTTGAATGACACCTAATACTTTGGAAGAAAGAAAATCTTAGTGGTAATTATGTTGTCTTCATTACTATCAGCGCGAAACCTCTTTGCTGGCTACTGTAGAAGTGGATGGAACATGTACTGGAAGGGCTTGTGTGCAGTTATCACAATGAGAAAAAAAAAATAGATGTAATTACGTTTGTATGATCATTTCATTGTGGGTTACTGTTTCAATCCAGCACTTTTAGGATGATGCATGACAGGACTATTGTGTCTGGGAGTTTAGAGTACATTTGCTAGTGCAGTCGCCACAGACTGTGCATGTTGTGACTTTTTGTTCCGCCCCGGTCACATGCATTTTAAAATAATTGCAAGAACCTTAGCAAAGATTGGACACCTTCGTGAAAGCCCATTTGTTGGTCATTTAATAACAGCCATTAATAGGTCCAAAATGATATCAACTGAGAGACATGTGGTCGTTTCAAAGCTCTTGTACATAAAGAATTTTTTAGCATAATCAAACATACAGATTTAAAAGCATTTTGATCCATAACTTTTTCAATGATGTCTGTCATCTTAGAAGGATCAGATACATTAGTCGGTGGATTCCCTCTATTTAACATGAAAAACAGAACACATCCAAGACTCCAAACATCTGAAGATATTGGATTAAAGGGCTTCTGCAGTTTCACTTCAGGCGCCAGGAAAGCTTCGTGCCCTAAATAGTCCGAACACATAATAGACTCCCTGGTATTCTCGTCAATGCATTGAACACACAGACCAAAATCCGCCAGTTTCACAAGATTATCGTTGAAAATGAGGATGTTACTAGGGTTGATATCTCGATGGGCGTAACCAAGACCATGACAATAATTCACAGCGGATAGCAACTGGCGAAAGGATATTTGAATAAATATGTCTTTCACTTTTCTGTCACGTTCTAGAATCATCACTTCAAGATTACCACACGGAGCAAGTTCTAGAACAACACAGGCTAAACTGTTCCACATGAAGAATTCTTCTAGACCAATAATATTCAAATGATCAAATGTCAACAGAGCATTTATCTCTGTCATGGCGTATGTGTCATCTGAGATACTTCCTCGGGACACCAGGCGTTTCATGGCGAGTCGTACACCAGTAACTTCTTTCGTCACTGCAAAAACATCTCCGAAGCTGCCAGCACCAATGCATTCGTGAATTGTGTACCCATTGCGTTTTAGAAATTTTGACCACAGACTAGGCGAACGAATAAATTCCATGTTGGTGAATCCTCCCTCGGTGATACAAGAAATATTAATTTTGTTGAAGAAATCGCATGTCATTTTAAAAATATTTGCCAGTTCCGACAGTTACGATGAATGTTCACGCATCATATCCTAGTTATATAATCCCAACATACATTTGTTCAAAGTTGGATGCCGACGATTTGGCAGCAGACCGATCCGGTTGATTTTCTCAAATCCTATGATGGATTAACAACTACTATGCTTTTGATTTTCTTTAAATGATATGCTCTTTCAATAATATTTTCTATGGTTCATACTTTCTGGATTTTTACCTTCTTTGGGGGTGTTTTTTTTTTTTTCTGTTTTTGTTGTAGTTTTATTTTTTTATTTTTTTTACTCAAAACTTGTACACATGCGTTATAATGTGTACTCACATTAGTGCATGTATTCTGCAACTCAGTGTTTGGCACTCGTTATTTGGTTTACTTTAGAAATGCTCATAAAGTGGAATAAAGCAATGGAAATAATAAACATTTGATTGTTCCCAGTCTGAGCGATGATTCAAATGAGTCACTATCAATGGTACTGAATCATCACCTGGTTATATTCTTATGTACGTCTCGGCAGATGAAAAGTTCTGTAACAAGTTTTGCACCCTCCAAGGATTTTTTAGCTATGAAAAAGGAAGAAGTGTTCTGCAGTACAGTCCCCGTGACGATGGTAGTTTAATAGCCGCTAGTTTGAAAAACTACACGAGACTCACGTTAATCAATTTTCCTTATCAAACCTGAACAAAAGACAGTGTATTGGACACACTTATTTTCAAATAAACCACACCAACAAATACTGCATTCACATTCTGAAAACATATATTACTAGAATACTCGCAGTTTCAGAAAAGAAATTAGAATAATTATTGCTTAAACAGTTTCTAATGTGAAGCACTGAACACGTGTGATGTAGACACAACTGATAAAGACCTAACTAGCATTATTACATTACTGGAACAGTGTTTGGTGTAATTTAAAATTAAAGCTTTTAGAAAACAAGTCTGATCGAGTTGTCAGGTAAAGTTAACGATGTGTATGTACAACAATATCTTATTTCTGAGTTGCTCGTGAAAGCTTGTGCGAAAGTTTATATCTTGTAGCGAAGTTTTTGGTAATATCAGCCAATTTCTGAAATGTGCGAGTAATTCTATAATGTTTTGAACGGCTCGCGTTTGAGGGACATAGCTTCTTGAGTGATTATACCATCAATGTTCTTCGAGGCATCTTTATTGTTTCCATGTGTCCAGCATCTGGCTACCAGCATGATTCGTACCTGCAAACGGGAAGAAGATAAAAACAAAACACAGCTTTAAATATGCATCGTGAAACAAGGTCACAAAATGAAAGGCAAAAACAAGTATTTAAAAAATTTGGCTCAGTCCTTGAGTGTCCCATCCAAACATATAGAAGGGTGGTTGTGAGGGGGGTGTGGGGGGGGGGGGGGGGGGTCTGCGGTCCGTGAACCAATAGTTTTGTCAGGGAAGATTCATGCCCCCATCTGCCCTGTGTGTCATTTTTTCTTCTTGCCGTTCATCTGTGGAAAGTTCTGGTTGTTGGTCTGCTTCCGACTTTAGTCTGTTTCCAGATTCTGAGTTTTACCTGCACACCCGTTTCACAAATCTGGCTTATTTGTCTGCAGACTGTAGGTTCATTGCCTTACAGGTAAATACACTCCGACTTCGAAAGGGGAGATGAAAATGGGGGCTAAAGGGATCTGCTCCCCTGTGTTCTGGCTCCTACTTGAACAATTTCCTACAGTCTCCCCCCCCCCCCCCCCCCCCCCCTGATCAACCCCGACAGCCTTTCTGACCTCAGCCACTGTTACCTGGCTTGCTAACTGTTACTTCAAGATAGGACACACTTGGGTTCGACAGTAGACCAGTAGTTCAGGAATGCTGGTATTGCTGATTTTTCTAGTTGAAGTCGTTTCAGATCAAGTCTAGTCGCTGAATTGATTTTTAAAATAGGCCGCATAAATAAGTTTATTGGGTGAGGGGAGGGGAGCACAGCCTTTCCTCTACTCCTTATGTGTTTTTTTTTTTTTTAAATCTGGGTTGGGTGCCTCACCTGAGCTGGTAGCGACGCATATAAGAGTGACATGACACCACCTGTCGACCCCGGTGTTTCCATTGTGTGTTGTGCAACATTTCAGACTTTTCATCCAACTGCCTCTTATCGACAACCTGCCAGTCTCCTCTTCCTTTTTTTTTTTTTCCGGTAAAAAATGCACAATTGCTCACTTCCCGAAAAAGATCAGGTGTATTTTTGGTAACCTGCATTCAGTGCAATTATGTTCCCACTATAAATAAAAGGAGTTGAGAATGAGTATGCAGACAGGTGCAGGCGTACCCGGGGAAATCGTTTTATTCTGGTTGTTGTCGCTTTATTGAGCATTCAGTATTTTTCCATGAGGCTTAGAGGTTACTCAATGAGTTTATGATTTTGGAATAGTAAGGTTCGAATTCCACCGCAGACAATTGATAAGAAACAAATTCTATTCTTGTGGCGTCTGGAAGACGGTCCGAGAGTCGCACCGCGGGAGAGATAGAGTTCTCACCGAGTAATATTTCCAAAGATAATAGTGGGTATATTGTAGCCAAGCTTCATTGTAGACACGACACATATGTTGTTTTTTAGTTAAGTATTTGTAAATGCACGGTATGTTGTGGTTATTTTTGGACTTTGACATAGCGTAACTTTTGACCCCTCTAAGTCGTGGAGGTGTATCGATGGAAGCACTAACATACAGAAGCCGTATTGTTATCTGTTTTTGTTCATCCTCTTGTTGAACAAGTCTATAATAACTTATTGCTGTCCATTTCTTGATGTAGTCATTCTAGATCTTCTTTGCCCTCCTCTTCTTCGACCCCCCCGCCCCTCCTCCCCTCCGCCCTCCCCCTAGTTCCTTGAATAACTAACTTGTCAATTGAATCATGTCTCACGATGTGCCCAAGCCAAGCTAGTTTGCGACGTTTCAGACTCCTGATGTTATGCCAATTTGTTTACTCTCTCTCTCTCTATCTCTCTCTCTCTCTCTCTCTCTCTTTATCTCTCTCTCTCTCTCTCTCTCTCTCTCTCTCTCTCTCTCTCTCTCTCTGACATATATGTTAGTTTCATGGTCTAAATAACTAATTTGCATAATTCGTCTAAAGCATTTATGCTCGAAAGCCTAGATCTTCGTTTCCATTTCCCCAGTGAGAGTCCAACTCTCACATCCGTATAAGAAAATAGACAATACGAATTGTGAGTTCGTTAAATCTTTCAAAATCTTCTTTAACACAGAGGTGGGTACACTGCGGTCAACTTTCATTGTAAACATAACACACACATTTTAAGTATTTTTGTAACTGCATTGTAAATTGTTCATCATTTTAGGAAATTGCAAAATGTAAGATTAGGGATCTCTGTGACCAAGTTGTGGAGCCGTTTTCCTCGCGCTCTGATTAGTCGTGGGATCGCTCAACGGCAGCGTCGTTCGGTTCACAAGAGTTTTTTTTTTTTTTATTGAAACCCCTGGAATCATCGCCTGAGCTAAAGAGTTCTTGCTTTGTGAGACTTCCTCAGCAGACGGCTATAAATTTTGCGGAGAGAGACCGAGCCAGTGGGATAAAACCGTTTGCCATGAAGCCGATCTTTTCCGCTTTAACTCTTTCAGTACTAGAAAAAGTTGTTCTAAATTTATAAGGAAATAAGAGAAACAATGAAAAGACCGAGCGTGTAATACCGTCAAAGAGACCAAATAATATGTGGTGTATGTTAGCGTATATAGCCAGACGTCTTTAGCATGCTCAAAGCAAATGTTAATTATATAATTACACACCGGTCTTTACTTTACCCACTGATTAGAGCTGATTACACACTGTACGTTGGTAGGGAGGGAAAGAGTTAACTTTCAAGATTAACAACCTGTCTAGAACAACGAGGTGCACCCCCCTCACCTGGGGTAGTCATCAAGCTGCTGTAACTTTTTCTTTCTAGGAGATTGAATCAGATGTTTGGGAATCATCTCGTTAAATTGACATTGAAGACGCGATTCATCGGTTCGCTTGTCAGTTAACAACAACTTTTGTAAGAGAACCAAGGCCCAACTCCCCCCCCCCTTCTGCCTCCCCTCCCGCCCCCTGTCCCATCCCAGCCATGACTAGAAGTCATGAGTCAAAACGAATTGAACTTCACAACCCCCCCCCCCCACCCACCCCCCCTCCACCTCCACACCCTTTTACCCTGATATTTATAGGCGGTGTTGACGCCCCTTATAAGCACAAGTACGTTTTTTTTTTTTTTTACAATTTGTGAAAAGCACCATTACCTTTGTTTCTAGAAAACAAATCCCTGAATCCATGTGAATACACGCGAACTATACATAGTCTAGCTTTCTTTCTCTATGAATAAGTTACACTATGTGCAACTTCGTGTAAATTACGACACGGTAACCTTTCTAAAGACACCAGGGACCTGATATAAATCAGGATAATAAGAGTGGCATCAGTTGTCGGGACATTCTGTTACAGGGAAAAACTTCAGTCTAAACATAGTTTATGTCAGTAACGGAATCCCGTACCTAACATGTGACCTGCGATGCCAGGTTTGACAGTTGCCGGGCAGCCGTCCTAGATAAGGGGGCTAAAACTGAATTATCCCAAAATACAGATTGTAGTTTACTTACGTGAGAGACAGAAGTGGGGGGGGGGGAGGGGCAGAGAGAGAGAGAGAGAGAGAGAGAGAGAGAGAGAGAGAGAGAGAGAGAGAGAGAGAGAGAGAGACTGGGAGGGAGGGGGGAGAGTCTTTGGTAAGAATCTGCACATGGCGGATTTTTATAAAAGGAGTTTCGCTGCCAGGTCACTCCAGCCTAAACTGGGTACCAGTCTCTTCTTCATCTTCTTGTTCGTACCCTCCACCGGCTGTCAACTCCATCTATAAGCGTTGCTTTTTAAATGCTTCTTTAAAATTATTATTTTTTTTTTTTTTTTTTGAAATATAATATTATTTGCCATTCAT